AGACTTTATGCATAAATTTTTAAATTAAAAAAACATTGTATGTGTTAACAAAGAAACTTGGCTACAACTTAGTTTCAATGTGCATGTAAGGATCAAACGTTCCAGTTCAGTACTACTGTTGTAGCTTGGTACGCAGTTGAACACTGTTATTTTATCTCCTCATACTGTAAAGAGTTATAGATGATCTGCACACAAGTGCTTATTATTATTATGAGTTCAAACTGCTTTTTTGTCACCGTGTTCCCTCCAATAATACATTGATATCTATCGTCTTATGAAGGAAGTTTTTAAGTTAATTTTTTAAATGGCTCAGGTGGTGCGATAGGTTTGAAAATATGAGGATGTGTATTTAAGCTTTGAGGTACCTAGATTATGAATCCTGCGCTCCTTGAAGTTTGGTCTGTGGGACTTCCCCAATCAAATAAAAATATGTATTGCAGGTAGTGGTTCTGATCGGGTGCAGTAGTGTGTATGGGACCAGTCTCACCAGCCCAGTGGATTGAAGTATTTATGTGATGGAGTAGAAGAATGGGATTTGAGCAGAGCATAAACATTTTAGAATCAGGGTCAGCTTACATAGAACATAGGTCTGGAAAGCTCAGGCTTGGAAGTGTGTCTTTTCCTCATCTGACTACTAACGAAACTCTTATGAATCAGTAACTTTACCCTTCTCTGTCTTTAATATATTTTTCTTGCTCAAACAAATGCTTGGTACATTTGTTCATGTTCCAAACTCATAGGCCTTTGGCTTCAGAGCTTATTGACTATTATTACAAAGAAACCCACACTGACAACTGAATTACTCTAGCTGTTCCATTCAATGTAGGCAACATCCTGATTAAATAAAACAAAATGTGTCCAAAACAAGGGCTTTTTACTTTATTAGTTCCTTCCGACCCACCCTCACCATCTTTCACATATCTTCGAACTTAGGGGTAAAAATACCGAGTCTTCCATCTCAGGTATGCAATCTTCTTTTAGTTTTTTTTTTTTACATGAGTGCGACGTTGCATCTGAGATCATGAAGACAAGTATTAAGGGGTGGTCAATCTCGTGGACCAAATAGGGACGACCAACGCAGCTGGTCCCTCATCAGTCAGCTCTTTACCTCGGCACGCAGTGCTTGCCGCTGAGCAGGGCCTGCTTGCTGAACTCGGCGACCAGGTGCTCCAGCTGGGCGTTCCTCTTCTCCATGCTGATGCGCACGTTCTGCATCGACCCGACCTGCTTCTCCAGCTGCTTGATGTACTGCTCCTGCGCCTTGCAGCGCACCGCCTTGCGTTCCAGGGTGGCGTTGGTCTCGATCAGCCTCCGGCCGTCCACCACGTCCTGCGGCCACAGCGCGCCGCCGTGCTCCTGCCGGAAGTAAGTGGAACTCTCAAGCCGGACAGCAAGTGCGCCAGGGCTAGGCGCCAGCCACGGCCTCCAGCCCCGGCCTCCAGCCCTGGGCGCGACCCGCACCTGTTGGTCCCGGCTGTGCAAGGCGCTGATGAGCTGGTCGCGGACGCGCAGGACGTTCTCCTGCTCCGTCATGACCTTGTCGCGCTGCGCCAGCTCCTGGCGGCAGTGGCTCAGCTCCTGCTCCAGGCGCTCGTTGTGCGTGGCCAGTTGCGCAAACATCTCTTTCAGCTCGTCCAGTTCCTAGAGGTTTAGAGGGAAAGGGGAGGGAGAGGGGGAGGGGGTTAAAAACAATACACCTTTATCACCCACCAACAACCAGACTGAGATTACCTCTCTCGTGGTTTGTCCTGGGCGCAGTGAGAGGTAGTGCTGGAGCTCAGCGTCCGTTTCCGCGAGCTGCTGACTCCTAATAAAAAGAAACCGCCCCATCTTACAGCTCGAGCTTGAGCGAACACAGCTATGTACCATGCGTGTCAGAGCGGGCGCCGACCGCAGTGTTGCGGGCTTGCCTACTCCCTCCGCCCGTAAGGCGCTACGGCCGAAGAGGGTAGGCAAATCTGCAACACTGTTTTGTACGCTCTGGTACCCGGCACTTTCTTTTGGATCTGAATCGCCCTAAATCGCACCTCGACTCGAGCTGTTCCATCACTCTCTTCAACTCGGTGCGCAGCTGGGAAATGTCAGACGAGCTCTGCAAGCAAAATATCCGGTATCAAATTGGGCAGTTTGCAGACACACAGACACAAAGAAAATCACGGCCGTGTACCCTCTCGCTTAGCTCATCCAGCTGCGACTTCAGTCTGTCTCGTTCAGCTCTGATTTCATTAAGCTCTGAGTCCGCTCGTGTCATCTCCATTTGGGATAGTTTTTCGGTAGTTGCCTTCAACTGATTTTGTGCTTTCTCCCTGATAAAAAAAAGAAA